AATGTTCCAAAGTTGTGGGAAGGTTGAATGCAAAATAACCATAGGACAAGCACGCTCTCACCAAGCTCTAAGAAACACCCGACTGGGCACAGGCGTCAGTTCAACTTCTAGTTTTGATTTACATTTGCTTGAGTTGTCAACTAACGTGAATTAAAGGTAAAATCAACAACAAAAAATCACTATGTCATTGGATTAGGTTAAAAGTTGGTGCAAAAAAAAGACGAAATGCCCTTAAATTGAAATCCAATTAGTTTTGATTCAACATCATCACATTCATTTTGGGGGTTGAAATTATGTGGAAACGTCGTTGATTCAACCAGTTTTTGCCCAGTGGGATACGGTTCTCAGAACGTTATCTGCTAGATGGGATTTGTTATATTGAGTGTGTGTGTGTTCCTGTTGTAATATGATACAAAATATCAAAGAATGGCAGCACAGTGTAGCGTGTGTGTGTGTCTGTGTGTGTGTGTGTCCTTCCAGATTTCACTCTCACTCTACGGCTATGGTGCCCAGCTGAAACATCTGTAGCTTCAGACCAACTGCAGGGCATCCTTACACCATAGTTTCAGATGTAGCTGACTGACAATCTGCATAAATTGCTAAATATAATGAGTGTCAAACACTGAAGGAACTGGTCTTGTGGATAAGAACATTCATGGGGAAAAGAAATAATTTTTCTGGTCTTTATGACATTGTAGTTTTAGTTTATGATGGTGGTTGCGTCATTGTACACTTGACATAAAACCTGTTTTAATTAGCATTCTCATTTAATACATATTCCTCACCCTCTCTGAATATCCAAATCACAATTATATTTGTTCCCCATTAGGACTTTCATCCTACTAAACACTGTCATTCAATCAAATAATCTCTTCTCCTGAGGAAATTCAGGTTCCATCCCTGGTATAGAGTCAATAGGCTATAGAAAACAAAACGTTTGTCACCACTGGGTGTCCATCGACAAGAAAACAAACCCCTCCTGTAATCAGGTCAGGTGTTGAAAGGGCGATAGATCTGGCCCAACCCACACCTTTCACTTCACTCAGGCATTGGTTCGCTGTTAATCTTATGATTGCTGTCTTCAGAAACGGATTCGGTCTCTCTGTCAGAAGCCGCAGCCTCATGAGTACCCGGTACTATCAAATAATAGCCCCGGCCGTGGCGTTCATGCTACTGGGAATAACTGGGATTATACTGCTCGTCATCCCGATTGACGACATGAGGGAACCTCCACAATTCATGGTAATAACTTTCTTGACCTATTCTCAGATTTACTGGCGCGAAAATGAAAGTATACTGATTGTATTTGCATACACCTGTCGATGAGTGGCTGTAGCCAATTATTTAACGACATATCCTGGATAAAACGAGATAAATAACGTTAGGTTTTACTGTATTATAAATAAAGTGTAGCAAATGCCATACTTACAAAAACGTTGTTTGTCATGTCTAAGCACCAGTTCCGTGCGAAGGTGCCAAATTGTCAATGTTTCATATTCTGCAAACCGGATACAATGTAGAGAATATGTTTACTTTTGTAGGCTATACAAATGGCTTGTAGGACTATTCCCTTAACAATGAAAATATGTTGGTTATGATGTTGGTTATAATAACGTTATAAAGGCATGCAATAATACAGGCTAGGAAAACATATGTTGAATGTTTTTGTAAACAACATTAATATAATAGCATTAGCCTACCATAATAAAATATAAACAATATTCTGTTTGTTTTTGTACTGTGGGGTCAATCTGGAAACCACCCAGATCTATAATTCAAGTGTGATTCCACAGTTTCAATCAGAGGTCCATCCACCAATTTGCTGTTCCTCAAAATGTAATCCCTGTTTTTGAAATCCACAGTTTGATTTGAATGTTAATGTTGATTTCCCTCATAACACAAAGGAGCAGCTGGAACTCCTAGAGTGGTGATGATATGCATTGCTGCAGCTTTCAGAGTTGTGCATCACAATTGCAATTCTTACCTGAGCTGTTGTTTGTCATATTTTTGCAGCACAGAGTCTCAATGTAATACTTATTTTGTGCCCCATTTAGTAGAATAAGATTCATTCTTGTAAACTGTGGAAACAATGCTCTCTAAAGCATCCCGGGCCGGTTATGCATATTCTCCATTACATAGGCAATACGATGAACCACAAATAAAGTAGGCCTAATACTATTACTATGGATGTGCACAATGTGGAGTTGAAAAGTCTGATCAAATTTACATTTAACAAGTAATTATACATGAAGACATGTCAGAGACGGACAGATAGTGAAACTTGGAGATTAATGAAACCAGCGTTTCAGGCAATTTAGCAATGCCCCTGAGCCCGGTTTCCCAAAAACATTTTAATGCTAAATTTATCATAAGAACCTTCGTAGGAGCGTCTTTAAATCTCTGAGCTGTTTCCCAAAACCATCATTACTAAAGTTGCACTTGAAAACGCTCCCCACTGGGCACACACTGGTTGAATCAACGTTGTTTCCACATCATTTCATTGAAATTACGTTGAACCAACATGGAATAAATGTTGAATTGACGTCTGTGCCTAGCACAGGAGGTTGGTGGCACCTTAATTGGGGAGGACGGGCTCGTGGTAATGGCTGGAGCGGAATCAGTGGAAGATCTCTGCTTGCATTTTGACTCAGAAACGGTTGGTGACCACTGTTCTAGAGTTTTCCCTGTTAACACTATCAACGTTTACTTTTACTGTGGCAATTGTGATCGAATGGATGCAATATTAGCCACTTTCAATGCAACATACCGAAACAAAACAAACTATGCAAGAGATTTTGTTGTAGGCAGTAGGATTCTATTGCATTGACACGCACGACTCAGCCCGTACTCTACACAGACCGGTGAGGCATAAACAATCAGTGCCTCTGGTCCTCTGTAGCTCAATTGGTAGAGCATGGCGCTTGTAACGCCAGGGTAGTAGGTTCGATCCCCGGGACCACCCATGCGTAAAAATGTATGTACACACGACTAAGTCGCTTTGGATAAAAGTGTCTGCTAAATGGCTTATTATTATTATTATAGAGCTGCAGTAGGCCTATATGCAAATAGACCATTTCCATATATGGATCTGTGCCATTTCCTTTGAACTGGACTGTGTTCACAGCATGAGTGGTCCCGAGTAGATGCGCTTGTTTTGAGATCAAAGCAAGAGCTGCATGTAGCCACGTGTGCACATTTTTGTTCATGTCCTTTGCTAGTTAGTTATTAGCCCAGTTATAGATACTTTGTAGTCAGCAATAGGGGAGTGATTGCTTCCTACAAGAGCACAAAACATGTATATTTCTAGACACCTTTGAAAGGAGAGTCAGGTAAAGAGCTTTATAAAGGGGCAGTGTTGTATTTTGAGACAGGCTTGAATAAGCTAAGTAGCCAATAGGCAGAGGGTAACAATTTGTCTGAGTCTCTGTAATAATGGTATGAGAATAACAATGCATTTGATTTTGTAGTGGTTTCTTGTATCAAACACCACAACAGCATTTTCAGTCACCTTGTCTGAAGGACAAGTGGATAAACAGGTTAATGTCAAGCGCTGCACGTTTTTTTTTCAAAAGCCTCATGGAAAGTAGGCATACATTGAACACCACACATTGGCTGCTACTGTAGGCTGAATGACAGAACAGCTATTTCCATGTTAAAATGTTATGGGATGCATTTTCTCCATTGTTTTTGATGGAATGCCACTATGATAGGCCTACATTATGATCAAATAGCCACAGTGGCCATACTAAAACTTGTACAGCCTCAGTGTTCACAGTAAACACGTGCTGGAAGTTGCACAGAATGTTCACAACGTTCAAGTTTGCGCTCAGCAGACCTGAAATTTGCTCAGTACTGGAAGAAATTAGAGGGAACATTGGTTATAGTCAAAGTTACATTCCATCGCTATCGGGAAACTGGCCCTGCTGTGCCTTTGACATGCAGTATCTTGCTTAATAAACCCAACCTCAGAGCACTCAGTGGAAAGCCTTTTTAAACAAAGCCCAACCTGAATCATAAAAGGGATGAAAAACAAGAAAATAAAAGGGCAAGAATGAAAGATCACCATAAAGCCATGCCTATTTTACTCAACTCATTTTCTATTGTCCCTTATGGTTACTGTTACGTTCCCACAAGAGAAACTCAAAATGTCTCACAACAAAGGGAACTAACAATGAAAATCACTTACAACCAAACAAAACAGAAAAGGGTTCAAAAGGGGTCTTAAAGGCACCCATGAGGGTGCATACTGAAAGTTGGCAAAGCCACTAGTAAGGGGTTCTAAAAGACACCCACCATAGATGCCCACTAGGTTTGCCTCCAAAAAGACAAACTTAATGAAAAACCCTCAAGAACTTAGGATAGAGAGTACAATGAATATGGAGCAAAACAAACAGGGGAAATGCCAAAACTCAGGCTTCTTTCAAACTTAAATAGGTTTAGCTCAAAATCACCCATGAAGTGTAGCTCTCCCCAACTCCACTGGAGCACTGGGCCAGCCACTCCTAAATAGCACCTGGGCCAACACAGGTGAAACACCTTCCCACTAATGAGATGGTAACCAGCACAGGTGTAACACATAATGACTGACGAGGTGACACCAATCTGTGCGCCCTACGTTCTAAAATGCTATACGTGCTAAAAGTCCATCCTCAAAACATAATTGGAAAAACCAAAACCTGTAACAGTCTTATTTCTTTCCTCATCAAAGTAACTTTGAATTCTCTTTTGTGGCCATACTGTATTAACTCGAAAAACATTTTGAAGGACCAGATATTGGTCAGTGATATTTTGACTTTGCTGTGGGAATCTCAAAATAAGCACTGAAATGTCAACGTGTAAGATACACAATAAATACAAAAGTAGTGTTGCCTAGTATTGTCAGGCAAATTCTGAAACATGTATTGGTTATTTCTATTTTGCCTGTATTTCTGACTTTTCCAACCGTTTTCTGTCTGTTTCAGTATGGAGTAGTCCTGGATGCAGGCTCGTCCCACACTGCCATGTACATCTACAAGTGGCCAGCTGATAAACAAAATGGCACAGGCATTGTCACTCAGCACAGCGAGTGTCATGTTAAGGGTAAGAGGGCATAGCCATATCAACCCCTACCTCCTAGGCACTTCTGTAGAACTGAAGAGATTGTATATAATATATCATATTATGACACACACACAAATCCATCTCGCCTATTCCAGGGAAAGGTGGAGCTATTATCATATTTCTCATACATATCCACTTCTCCAGTGTCTGAGTGTTCTACAAATACCCTAAACTCACTTCCATTTCTGTTGTTTTCTAGAAGGGAACTCAGTATGTTCCCCTCAAGAATGACCGGTCAGAGATTAATATTACAAAAGTGCTTTTTCACAGTTATGTTTTGCGTAATTCTGATTCTTAACTGAGAGTTCTGGTTCCCTTTCTATTGCCATGTACGCTGTATGCCCTCTCCAGTACTTCCTCTATTACTTACGTTTGGTTTCAGTTGGGCAGGTAATCATAGAAACACTCGTGAAATTGTATTGCATCCATTCAGGTACAGTAAGTTTCTTGCTGACATGAAAGAAAAGGTCAGGCACAAGTCAAAATTGGCAGAAATCACATACACTTTGGGGTATTCATATTCTGATTTATATTGTATTCTATTGTATTTTATTGTATTATATTCTATTTAATGTCTACATACCCAGGAGGAGGGATATCCAGCTATGCAGCGGAGCGAGGGGGTGCAGGGCGCAGTCTGGAACACTGTCTGGAACAGGCTTTGCAGGACATTCCCAAATCCAGACACCACCTCACTCCTGTGTATCTGGGAGCCACAGCGGGTATGAGGCTACTGAAGTGAGTGGAGATGCACAAAATAACATTAGATGTACTTTCAGATCAGATACACAGTATAATAGCATCTTACGTTCATGGGTTATGTGTCACGATCGTTACATGATGCGGACCAAGGCACAGCGTGATAAGCGTACATACTTTATTTGTACACAACAACATGAACAAAACAACAAACGAAACGTGAAGTCCTAGGTTATACAACAAACCTTAACGGAACAAGATCCCACAAATAACTAGTGCAAAACAGGCTGCCTAAGTATGGTCCCCAATCAGAGACAACGAGCTACAGCTGTCTCTGATTGGGAACCACCCTGGCCAACATAGATCAACACGATCTAGAAACAAAAACATAGAAAACAAAACATAGAAAATCCACACCCTGGCTCAACATATAAGAGTCCCCAGAGCCAGGGCGTGACAGTACCCCCCCCCCAAAGGCGCGGACAGCGACCGCGCCAACCAAACACAACAGGGGAGGGGCCGGGTGGGCATTCCGCCTCGGAGGCGGATCCGGCTCCGGGCATGACCACCACTCTCCCTCTACCCCCCCGTAGCGCCCCTGGTCTGGTCTGGCCCCGCTGGCCGGAGCTGGACTGGACACCGGTGGAGCGGATTGCTTTGGCTCCGGAGTGGAGCAGCTGACCGGTGCCGGACCAGGCACCGGTGGAACAGGCACGGTCCGTGCCGGACTGACGACGCGCACCACTGGCTTGGTGCGGGGAGCAGGAACGGGCCGGACCGGGCTGGCGACGCGCACCACTGGCTTGGTGCGGGGAGCAGTAACGGGCCGGACCGGGCTGACGACGCGCACCACTGGCTTGGTGCGAGGGACAGGAACAGGCCGGGCTGGACTGGGAACACGCACCACAGGCTTGGTGCGGGGAGAAGGAACAGGCCGGGCCGGACTGTCGACGCGCACCACTGGCTTGGTGCGGGGAGCAGGAACGGGCCGGGCTGGACTGGGAACACGCACCATTGCCTTGGTGCGGGGAGCCGGAACAGGCCGGACCGGGCTGACGACGCGCACCATTGGCTTGGTGCGGGGAGCAGGAACAGGCCGGACCGGGCTGGCGACACGCACCACAGGCTTAGTGCGGGGAGCAGGAACGGGCCTGACCATACTGGGAACACACACCACTGGCCTTGTGCGGGAATCAGGAACGGGCCGGACCGGACTGGTGACACACATCACTTGCTTGGTGCGAGGAGCGGGACTGGGTTTCCTCATAAACCTCCGCTCCCTCTGCTGCCTAACCAGTTCCTCTCGCCGTGCCTCCACACTCTCCTTCTCCCTCGTGACCAGTGGCCCCCGTAACCTGGCGGCCTCCTCTGCTAACCTGCTGAACCGCTCTATCGCGGCCTCCTGCTGCCTCGTCGTCCACGGCGTGAGCCCCCCCCTAAAAAATTTTTGGGCTTGTATTTCCCCCGTGAACATGGCCTCCATGGCTCTCGCCAGACTCTCACTCTTCTCCTCCCAAGTCCATCCTCTCTCCTCTTCACGCTGCTTGATCCAGTCGTGGTGGGATCTTCAGTCGACGATCGTCGTGGATGACGGGGCAGCAGGAGGCAGCTACAGGGCGAATCTGCAGACTAGGAGAGGAGGCCACCAGGTTACGGGGGCTATTGGTCATGAGGGAGAGGGAGAGTGTAGAGGCACGGCGAGAGGAACTGGTTAGGCAGCAGAGGGAGCGGAGGTTTAGAAGGAAACCCAGTCCCGCTCCTCGCACCAAGCAAGTGGTGTGTGTCACCAGTCTGGTCCGGCCCGTTCCTGATTCCCGCACAAGGCCAGTCGTGTGCGTTCCCAGTACCGTCCGGCCCGTTCATGCTCCCCGCACTAAGCCTGCGGTGCGCGTCGCCAGCCCGGTCCGGCCTGTTCCTGCCCCTCGCACCAAGCCTGTGGTGCGCGTCGCCAGCCCGGTCCGGCCTGTTCCTATCCCTCGCACCAAGCCAGTGGTGTGCGTCGCCAGCCCGGTCCGCCCTGTTCCTGCCCCTCGCACCAAGCCAGTGGTGTGCGTCGCCAGCCCGGTCCGGCCTGTTCCTGCCCCTCGCACCAAACCAGTGGTGCGCGTCGCCAGCCCGGTCCGGCCTGTTCCAGCTCCTCGCACCAAGCCAGTGGTGCGCGTCGCCAGCCCGGTCCGGCCTGTTCCTGCCCCTCGCACCAAACCAGTGGTGCGCGTCGTCAGCCCGGTCCGGCCCGTTCCTGCTCCCGGCACCAAGCCAGTGGTGCGTGTGTCCAGTCCGGCACGGCCCGTGCCTGTTCCACCGGTGCCTGGTCCGGCACCGGTCAGCTGCTCCACTCCGGAGCCAGAGCAATCCGCTCCACCGGTGTCCAGTCCAGCTCCGGCCAGCAGGGCCAGACCAGATCAGGGGCGCAACGGGGGGGTGGAGAGAGAGTGGTGGTCACGCCCGGAGCCGGATCCGCCTCCGAGGCGGAATGCCCACCCGGCCCCTACCCTCTTGTGTTTGTGTGGCGCAGTCGCAGTCCGAGCCTTTGGGGTGGGGGGGGGGGGGGGGGGGGTACTGTCACGCCCTGGCTCTGGGGACTCTTAAATGTTGAGCCAGGGTGTGGATTTTCTATGTTTAGTTTTCTATGTTTTTTGTTCTAGATCGTTTAGTTCTATGTTGGCCAGGGTGGTTCCCAATCAGAGGCAGCTGTAGCTCGTTGTCTCTGATTGGGGACCATATTTAGGCAGCCTGTTTTGCACTAGTCTTTGTGGGATCTTGTTCCGTAAGGTTTGTTTTGGTGTTAACCTAGAACTTCACGTATCGTTTGGTTTGTTGTTATGTTCGTGTGTGTACTTCAATAAAAGATGTACGGTTATCACGCTGCGCCTTGGTCCGCTTCATCTCACAACGATCGTGACATTATGTGAGCTACCACATTAGAATGACTTTACAGTATGTTGGCTAATGACAACATTATAATTGTTTTTGTCTAGTTCTGTCCCACTTTTCTCTCTCTTTCCCACAGTATATCCAACCCCACAGAGTCAGAGCAGATACTGAAGGAAGTAGGGAGCAAATTGCGTACTTATCCTTTTGACTTCAGAGGGGCGACCATCTTGAGTGGACAGGAGGAGGGGGCATATGGCTGGGTCACTGTCAACTACCTGTTAGAGAACTTTATCAAGGTGAAGTTTTCACAGTTTCAGAGCCGGCATCAGAGCTATTCAAGAACACTGAGGAATGAATGTTAAGCAGTGCTGGCCTTGTTGAGGAATGATGAATAAGAAACATTGGTTTGTTTTCGTTGTTTCTCAAGACAAACTGGCACTCTTCATTTCCTTCTCATTCTTTCTTTTGTCTCTTAGTATGGCTTTGTGGGGCGTTGGCTTAGTCCTGGCAGAGATACAGTGGGCGCTCTGGACTTCGGAGGCGCCTCCACTCAGATTACCTTTGAGACCGCAGATGTGGTGGAGGACAAGAGTAACGTCATGGCGCTGCGTCTTTATGGTCGAGACTACCACCTCTACACACAGAGCTTCCTGTGCTACGGCAGGGACCAGGTCTTACGCAGACTGCTGGCTCACTTGGTCAAGGTAACTAACGTTCTCCTAAAACACAGTAGTATTACAAACGCAGAATGATTGAGTATATCACAAACCAAAGTGCATAGTAATGCTAAAACCATAGAACAATGTTAGGCTCAAATATGGTAGACTGTATAGCCACTTATCATCAGGATATGACTACAGAGGTACAGTTGAAGTCGGAAGTTTACATACACCTTAGCCAAATACATTTAAACTCAGTTTTTCACAATTCCTGACTTTTAACCTTAGTAAGAATTCCCTGTCTTAGGTCAGTTAGGATCACCACTTTATTTTAAGAATGTGAAATGTCAGAATAATAGTAGAGAGAATTATTTCTTTCAGCTTTTATTTCTTTCATCACAATCCCAGTGGGTCAGAAGTTTACATACACTCAATTAGTATTTGGTAGCATTGCATTTAAATTGTTGAACTTGGGTCAAACGTTTCGGGTAGCCTTCCACAAGCTTCCCACAATAAGTTGGGTGAATTTTGGCCCATTCCTCCTGACAGAGCTGTTGTAACTGAGTCAGGTTTGTAGGCCTCCTTGCTCGCACACACTTTTTCAGTTCTGCCCACAAATGTCCTATAGGATTGAGGTCAGGGCTTTGTGATGTCCACTCCAATACCTTTACTTTGTTGTCCTTAAGCCATTTTGCCACAACTTTGGAAGTATGCTTGGGGTCATTGTCCATTTGGAAGACCCATTTGCGACCAAGCTTTAACTTCCTGCCTGATGTCTTGAGATGTTGCTTCAATATATCCACATAATTTTCCTTCCTCATGATGTCATCTATTTTGTGACGTGCACCAGTCCGTCCTGCAGCAAAGCACCCCCACAGCATGATGCTGCCACCCCTGTGCTTCACGGTTGGGATGGTGTTCTTCGGCTTGCAAGCATACCCCTTTTTCCTCCAAACATAACGATGGTCATTATGGCCAAACAGTTCTATTTTTGTTTCATCAGACCAGAGGACATTTCTCCAAAAAGTACGATCTTTGTCCCCATGTGCAGTTGCAAACTGTAGTCTGGCTTTTTAATGGCGGTTTTGGAGCAGTGGCTTCTTCCTTGCTGAGCGGCCTTTCAGGTTATGTCGATATAGGGCTCGTTTTACTGTGGATATAGATACTTTTGTACCTGTTTCCTTCAGCATCTTCACAAGGTCCTTTGCTGTTCTGGGATTGATTTGCACTTTTCGCACCAAAGTACGTTCATCTCTAGGAGACAGAATGCGTCTCCTTCCTGAGCGGTATGACGGCTGCGTTGTCCCATGGTGTTTATACTTGCGTACTATTGTTTGAACAGATTAATGTGGTACCTTCAGGCGTTTGGAAATTGCTCCCAAGGATGAACCAGACTTGTGGAGGTCTAGAATATTTTTTCTGAGGTCTTGGCTGATTTCTTTTGATTTTTCCATGATCTCAAGCAAAGAGGCACTGAGTTTGAAGGTAGGCCTTGAAATACATCCACAGGTACAACTCCAATTGACTCAAATTATGTCAATTAGCCTATCAGAAGCTTCTAAAGCCATGACAACATTTTCTGGAATTTTCCAAGCTGTTTGAAGGCACAGTCAACTTAGTGTATGTAAACTTCTGACCCACTGGAATTGTGATACATTGAATTATAAGTGAAATAATCTGTCTGTAAACAATTGTTGGAAAAATTACTTGTGTCATGCACAAAGTAGATGTCCTAACCGACTTGCCCAAAATATAGTTTGTTAACAAGAAATGTGTGGAGTGGTTGAAAAACGAGTTTTAATGACTCCAACCTAAGTGTATGTAAACTTCCGACTTCAACTGTATGTATTTTGTCTCTTCTGTCTCTCAGACTCAAGGTACTGTGCCCCATGTATCACACCCCTGCTATCCAGCAGGTTTCAATGTCTCCATGAAGCTGGACAAGGTGTTTGACTCCCCATGCACAGCAGACCAAAGGCCCTCTCCCTACAGCCCCCAGGACTCCCTGACAGTTATGGGCACTGGGCATTACCTGCAGTGCCTTGGCAATATGTCCAAGATCTTCTCCTTCGACGGGTGCTCTTTCTCCAAGTGCTCCTTTGATGGAGTCTTTCAGCCCAACGTCAGCGGCAGCTTCATGGTGAGGAGGATACCCATACAGAGATCACACTTTAAGATCAATCACGGATTCAATCTATGGCTCACTGTTTCTTAGAATTGATCCCATTTTAATTCAAATGTACATCATATCCTAATATTTAGTGGCATACTTTGGTTCAAGCTATTTGACAATCAGATTAATTTCTTTTCAGAAATTCTGTCAGAACAATACGGTATTTTCCATTTTCATTCATAGGCTTGTTCATTGTAAGCCAAAGCATATAGACAAACAGCCCACAGCCTCATGAGATTTATGAGACAGAATAATTGTCTGTTTATTGTCAAGGGGCAGATTGAGCAATCATCTTGTGGCCTCCTCTCCACAGGCCTTTTCTGCCTTCTTCTACACTCACGTGTTCCTGCAGCGCACAACAGGCATCACTGTCACGTCTCCCACTCTACTAGAGGGAGCCGCCCGCACTGTCTGCAACATGAGCTTCCAGGAGGTACTGGAGAGTAGGGCACTGCACATGATTATCATCTGAGTGAAAGGAGAACTGATCTAATATTCAGGGTATTCAATTCCATTATCAGCATTTGGGTTTTCTGAGCACTTATGAAAATGTCCTGCTGATGAGTGTGTATTAATTGCAAAAAGTAAGAAAAGTGAACAACAGAGGAATAACTAAATTAACATTTAGTGATATTTTTCTAACCCCAAACCCCTCCACATAAACAGATGCTATTGAAGGCCCCAGACCAGAAGGGTCGTCTACAGGATTACTGTGCAGCCTCTGTCTTTGTCCAGGTCCTCATGCTCCAAGGCTATGGCTTTGATGAGCTCTCTTTCCCTCGGATCTCTTTTCAGAGAAAGGTGAGCAGCAAAGTAAAACAATACAAATGCTTGACTATTTCAATATAGCTTTTTTCATGTACCACTATATGTATGCTAAGGAGTTCAGTTGTGGTTTGTTGTTCTTATTTTGTGCAGGCAGGAGACACCTCTATTGGCTGGGCGCTGGGTTACATGCTGAGTCTGAGCAGTCTGTTGCCAGGGGAGAGCATGGGACTGAGGAAGGCTCTGCGCCCCGAGGCCTGGACTGGTCTCATCTTCCTCTTTGTCTTCCTCATCCTCATTGTGCCTGGATATCTTCTAATGAAGACCTACCAAAAGAAGAAGGGCAGTGATGGCATCATCTAAGAATGTCTTCAGGACACCATTTGGTTAATCTTCTCCCCAGTCAGAATATGCACTTTTTGGGCTGCCGTTAACCCAGCGCAATTCTCAAACTTACGCTCATTTGCAATTTCGACCTGTTAAAGCAGGTGCTCTGCTATTTTCAAACCCTTGCGCCAGGCTTGGTAATTGACCTGTCTTATATCAGCTTGCTTGCTCTGGGGTGGGAGGGAGGGATGGAAATATTTGAGGTGTGTCCTTAAAAACGTGTACCAAAGTGCCAATTTCAGGCAGCGCTGTGGTGATATTTAAATACAGACCAAAAGCTGGTCTTAACTGTATGACAGTTGTCTATGGCATGGATTTTGCCAGCGGAGGTGCACAGTATCCTAATCAATAGAATAGCATACCACCAATGTTATATTAAAATATCACTTTTGGGAGCAGCAAAACAGTCAACCCGTTTTCATTATATTGGATAAAATGTATGTCCAGCTCCTGTGAAAAGTTTAGACATGTGCGATGCCCATGGAATGAAAGATGTCAAGCCTATTTAGAAACATTAAGTTGTTATGTGTAGGAAGCATATTTTTAAATATCAAGTTGTTAAAAAGTCTTCTTGCTTTTTGTTTATCATTTTGTTGAAAAATGTATCTTCCACTGTCCTCTGTTGATGTCAAATCGTGGGAATTATGTTCGCTGTCCGTGGTGCTGAATCCGCTATTGTATTGATATTTGCCTAGTCTCGTAAACCCGACCCTAGGTGGACGGGTACATTGTGTGAGGCAACCTGTCTGCCTATAGGGAGACTAATATTTGACTGTTTGTTTACCTTTACAATTCTATACATGGCAAAGTCACCATACAGGCCATATCAACGGCGAAGGTAGGCTAATCTTATTATAACGTTTGGTAGACAATGTCTATTGCTCAGATATGCAATGTAATTTAGGCTATAGACTACCAAAATTCTAATGCAATATTCCCATGTTGAAGCCAATATTTTTTTTTTTTAAAGGCTCCCGAGTGGCGCAGTGGTCTAAGGCACTGCATCGCAGTGCTAGCTGTGCCACTAGAGATCCTGGTTCGAGTCCAGGCTCTGTCGCAGCCGGCCGCGACCGGGAGACCCATGGGTGGCGCACAATTGGTCCAGCGTCGTCCAAGGTAGGGTAGGGTTTGGCCGGCGGATGTGGGTTCGTTTCCCACGGGGGGCCAGTATGAAAAAAATTAAAAACATGTATGCATTCACTAACTGTAAGTCGCTCTGGATAAGAGCGTCTGCTAAATGACTAAAATGTAAATGTAAAAGGCAAATGAAAAACTGGATACATAAACATTTGTTATAACTAGGACTATTATAGGGTTACTGTATGTTATTTATACTGTATGCTATTTAATAACCTAGTAGGCCTATCTTCAATGGATAGGACAAACATCCATGCTCTCCCGCCGGAGTTTAAGACAACAGAACATCAAACAGCGTAAATACACAACTTGAAGCAACCACAGAAAGCTTCGGAGTATGTTTTCATTGGCCAGTGAGTGGTCAAGCCCTCGTCACACCTTCAACATGTTAATTCATTGAAAGCCTGCCTTTTTACACTAACGCCAGGCTTTACGCCCATAATTCCCGCTGTCAAAATAGCTAAAATATTTCTGACTCATCCACAACTCCACGAGAGTGCACTTAGATTTACGTTAGTGTTTGGTTTGTTAAAATAGAATCCCTAGAGTTTCAATCATTCCAATGTCACATAGTTTAGAGGAGGCTACAGGAGAAAAGCATATCCAAATTGACAAGGAGATGTATATTTCATTTGAAGTCAGATGTATTGATTACAATTCATACTACACTTTGTACAACATTTTGACTTTTGGTAATGATTAACTGATTTTATGGCATGCACTGTAATTCCAAACCATTCTATCAGAGGTTAAAGTCACAGAAGGCTGCTGAGGGGAGAACAGCTCATAATTATGGACGAAATGGAGTGAATGGAATGTCACCAAACACATGGAAATTATGTGTTTGATACCATTCCACATATTCCGCTCCAGCCATTACCACGAGCCCGTCCTCCCCAATTAAGGTACCGCCAACCTCCTATGGTTAAAGTGCTACGTAAGCGCTCACGTTTAACCTCACGTGTACCTGCGTATTCTACATTGCTGAAATGCAAGTGAGCCATCTGAATTCATGAATTGTCTTTTTATGCTGTTTTTAGACTTTGTGTTAATTCAGGACTCTGTGTGTGTCATTCATTGCTAGCATGTCATGTAATTTTAAATAAGCTACGTTTATTGCTTTTTCCGTGTTCATAATCTGTCATTTTGACAGTGAGTACCAAGGAAAGATCAAAGAGTCGATAATGTCCAATCAGGAGGGATCATTGTGAAGAAGAGATAGCCTAAATGGCGTTGCCCATGCTGTCACAGATGCTATAATGGCACAGATACAAAGATGAGTCCTCTATGTTCCGACTAGAGGGAGTACAGCTATGACTGGAAGTGACTTTTTCGTAGCAGGTAGGAGAATTTAAGCTGTAGATTAGGATAATTAAAGTGCAGGTTAGGAGACTTAGGAAAAGGATTAGGGTTAGCTAAAATGCTCTCCTAACCTCATTATCGAAGTGGCTTGAAAATAGTTTCCCAGTCACAACCGTCAGAGACGGAAGATGAAGCGAGACACCCCACTCGCAGTTTTTTTCTGGTTCAATGAAAGTCAATTGACTAAGGGTGCATTCGTAAATTCACTCTGGCTATCTACTCCGATTTCAGAGCACTCTCGTCTGAGTGTGCCAGAGCGCAGAATAACTGATGCATTTACGAACACACAACACCCATTGAATATGACCGGTGTCAGTAAACGTTGGCAAAAAACATAATTAAATTGTTGCCAGCAGCACAGATATCTTCACCAATGCTCTAGATAACATGAAAACAGCCTAACCAGCTCTGCTAGGGCGAGTAAAATGGTCAGAGTGTGGTGTTCTCTCATTTGTGTCTGGAAGTATCTGAGTCAATATCACTATGAGGTGCCTTTGGTGTCCTCATCAGACTCACTCAGTCATCATGAAAATGTAGCAGAATAATGAAAGTCTGAGGTCTTATTATAAGTGGCCAAACATTTGCACACATATCAGTAGAATGATAAGTCTCTAAAAAAGTGTTTCCTTCATTTTATTAAATTTTTTTCATTGGATGTACGTGATTTTGGCATGTCCCACACACTGCTCTGCTAACTACAGTGTGTGTAATAAGTGGTTAAATGATACTAAATCCAAAAACAATTTACATGGTTTTACTGTCCACAATAAGTTATTTGATAAAACAAGTAATTTTGATCATGTATATTGTATTTTCATAATCATATTGAACATTTTGCATGTGTCCCTGAAATTGCTGTCCACCCTGTCATTATGGGGTAACTGCCCCTTTAAGAAACCCACTGATGTTTTCAGTGACATCACTACGAGCATTTTGTCTTTCTTCAATGAAGGCTGAAGCAGTGTCTAGTTGCAGAGTAAGTATTTACACTTATGTTTCATAATTTTCATCATATTATGTGTGTAGTTGGATGTTGTCAAGCTTAACATGTCCACTCTGTCATAGTGAAATATCAATTGATAGAAAAACCTATCAGAACTTTGAAATATATTTGTAAAACAGTACACAGTCAGCTTGCTAACTGTAGTATGTTGCTAAGTGAAGGTCCACCATGTGCTCATTAAATGCTAACATTAGCCAAAAATGTCCACCCTGTCATTGTCCACCCTGTCAGCAAGCCTTCCATGATAGGGTGGACATGGTTCATGACAGGAAGGACATGTGCATAGTTTAGGCCACATACTGATAATGTTACACATATTACAACAGCTATTACACACATTTTATAACAGTACATGCTATACATAGTAAGAATGGACAATATGGACAATTTTTTTGTATCAGCAAACCTAGTTTGATAATGCAAGCCTAGTTTTCCGGGACTGCCAATTAAAGTGTGTAAGGGAACATTTGGAATCGTCTTTTTCAAGGAATGAGATCAAAAGGAGCTGAGATAGCAAGGAGATATCGGGAACGTCGTGATGCTGACCCAGACAGAAGAATAAAGTACCTTGAGAAAGAAAGGGTCAAATGGAAAAAAGACAGAGAGACTGGAAAGAAGAAGGGTGTCAATGAGCTCAGTGAGAGAGAGAAGAGGGCAAAAAGAAAGAAATGGAGAGAGGCAAAAAGTCAAGCCAGAGCCAGAAACAGGGCCAGTGCTTTGCTACAGTCAGAGACACCACCCAACTCCCCTGCTGAAACTCCTGAAAATCTGCATGAGCCAGGGCCCTCCAGGTTAGATCATTGGAAGTTTAGCTGATGAGACTTATTAGAAAGTTTAGATTTATTTGAAGGACAATTATCAACTGTTTATGTCCCCATAAAATGACATATTGATAACTAACTTGCTAAAAAAAATCCTTACAAATATTTTGTGTTTCAGGCAACGGCGTCAAGGGGAAAGCATTCGAAGGAGTTCGAAGAGAAAACTGAAAAAACAGATCGAAATATTAGAGGCACAGCTCACAAAAGAGAAAAGTAAAACTGAGAAATATAAGAAGAGGTACTATCGGGCCAAGAAAGAAAGTGCGTCCAAATCACCACGTACAAAAGTCAATGCTTTGTTGGCACATCAAAAAGTGAATTCACCCATCAAAAGAGCTCTTCTTTTCCATACATCCCTGATTGAAGATATTAGAAGAAAATATGAACATGCAAAAACAAACCGAGAGAAGCAGCTGATAGCAAAAGTGGTCAGTGGAAACATTCTTAAGAAGTATAAGCTCCAAAAGCATGCCCAGACTGCTTTTGGCTACTCTAAGAAGAGAGCAAAGTATCCTGTGGATCTGACCTACCGTGGGAGGAGGTGCTTCAGTCGAAATGAGATTAGGAAGAACGTTACATCATTTTTTCTTCGAGATGATGTTAGTCGAATGACAACTGGCCGCAAACAAACAGTCACACGGCTGAAGAAAAAAATGCAAAAGAGGTTGCTTACTGATACAATGAAGAACTTGCATAGGAGGTTTCTCTCTGAGCACATTGGCCAAATGTCATACACCTCCTTTTGCCGTCTCAGACCCTTTTGGGTGGTAACCCCTTCTTCCTCTGACCGTGACACATGTCTCTGCAAAAAACATGAGAACTTGCAATTCATTGCCAATGCCTTGCAGAGCCAAGGGTTACTGTCCTCAAGAAATATTGAGGAAATGTCTGAAGCAACCATGTATGACCCGAAAGCCAAGGTCTGTGCTTATGGTGAGTGCAGTGAATGCCTCCTAACTTGTCACCCGATGCTGACAACCCCTGGGGAAGAGAACATTCGTTTATCTCAGTGGATGACAGAGAAGATCAAGAAGGATGAGAAGGTGTC